GGGGGGGGGTCCCTGCCCCTCCAGGGCGCCGCGCCCCCGCCCCAAGCCAGCCCCCCGAGGACCCTGCGGGGCTCTGGGAGCGAGCCCCTTTCTCCCCTGAGACCTCAGCGCAAACACCGTCAGCACGGGCAGCGTCACCTGTGGGGCCTGGTGTGGGACGAACACCAGGACCCTTGTTAAAAAGCAATCGAGAATTTCGGCCTCAAGTGGGGGCCGCGCCCCGGGAGCCTGAACGCTGCACTGGCTCCCGGCCTCCCTGTGCCCGCAAGTTCTCACCTGCTGGGAGAGCCCCCTGGGGACCCCTGGAAGAGCCCAGGGTCACACGGGGGCTCTGGTGGAGTAAAGGCCATCGAGGGATGTACAGAACAGGCTGTGGCCTCAGACCCACAGGAAGCACGGCTGCACTCTGCCTAGGCCCCTTCCCTGGCTGTGTGACCTCGAGCCAGACGCCGAACGTCTCTGATCCTCAGGTCTTTCACACAAAACGTGGAGGTGCGACGGGACGCACCTGCCACTAACGGGACTATTTCGGTGTGGGGGGGGCACTCAGTCACCGCTCACTCTCCACCACCCTTTGGGGCAAAGTTAAGGGAGCAAAAGACCCAGTGTCCCCAAGCACCAGCTCCGTCGCCCCCTGACGTGCCGGGGGATGTGCGCTGTGCTGGCAGCTTGGTGCTCTCCAGGCAGCCACACTGGCCCTGGCTTCCCTCCGGCACCCCCTCCCCGCCCACGGCTCTGCAGGCAGCTGGCCCCAGAACACAGCCCAGTCTGTCCTCACAGCTTGTCTCCTCGGGGACAGACTCCTGCCTCCTCCTAGAGGCCCTCCCCCCAACCATTGCTCCCCTCCCCCTCCCCCCGGGAGATGCGCAGGGTCTCCCCAGAGCATCTGGGGCTTGTCCTGAACCAGATGGGGAGTCCCGTAGGATGCTAAGGTCGTACACCCGATTCTTGGACTGGAAAACAGAGGCCCAGAGAGGAAGAGTTGGGGCAGCCGGAGCCTCTGAGCCCCGCTTTCCCTCCGCCCGGAATGTTCTCTGTGTCTGTGCTCTCTTCTCGCCCCCGCCCCCTTGTTCTGCTGTTCCAGGCACCGGGTATTTTCCCCCAGGGGGGGCTGGTGCAGGAGCTGTCCCCTCTCCCAGCACCACGTGCCCTGGGGTCTCGCTCCGGGGTGGAGGGTGCTGAGGGGCGCAGGGATGTGGGGAGCAGGACGTGGGGTACCCCTCATGTATAGAGGGGCTCTGATAGGCAGGGGGCTCTGTGACCCCGGGGGGAGAAGGAGGGCTGGGAGGGAAGTGCAGAGACAGCGGGGGCAGGTGGGGTGGGGGAGTCGGGGACAGAGACAGACACTGCCTTCAGGCTGAACAGCAAAGCCCATGACCCCATTATTCCCCCGAGACACACAGACTGGAAGGGAAACGTGGCACCGGGGGAACATATCAAGAATCCACGTAGAGGACACCTGAGTTCTCATTCTGAGCGTGGTCATTAGGGAGACCTGACTGTCATCTCCCTGAAGTCCCACGAGAATGGTCCCCCAGGTGTAGGGACACACGGATCCCCGACCAGAGACACCCTCAGGTATGGACACACGGATCCCCGACCAGGGACATCCCCAATGTGTGTGGACACCTGAACCCCCGATGAGAGACACCCCCAGCTGTGGGAACACATGGATCTCCGGCCAGGGGCCACACCCTGGTCTGAAGTCATTTTTTATTTTTAGGCAAATGCCTACAGTGACTTTTGACAGGGCTGGTTTCTGTCTCTTTGTGGCCCCTGAACTAGTCTGTTGAGTGTACAAATACCAATTCCGAGAACCTTCAGGCCACATGTGAAGACCCTTCGGGCAGTTCAAAATCAAGAGACTGACCCAAGGGTGTGTGAGAATGCACGAAGGGAAGACTGTCTGATCTGAGACAGAAGAGTGGGTGTTAGGGGACTTTCAGGGGATCTTGAGGGAGCCTGGGGGCTCTGGACTACCTGGAGTTGCCACAGCAACCCTCAGGGGAGCCACCCCCAGGCACCTCCAGCCGACAACTGCTCAGGCTGCACCGAAAAGGAAATGCACCTTCTGAAAGTCCAGTACTGCACAGACCTCTGTAGTAGCATGCTGGGAACGTCATAAGCTGGGACTATAAAAATATAGCTGACAAAGCATCCATTTTAAAAGTATACACTGTGAGAATTTCACCTGTAATCTTACTACCTAGAAATTACCATCGTTTCCCACCTGACAGGAAAACAAAATTATCTCATTGTGCTTTGATTTGCTTTTAAAAAAAGCCTTGTTACGTTCAGCAAACACTTCTCCTGTGTATCGGCCATCTGAATTCCTTCTTTTGGGAATGGCCTAGCCGTGTCCAATGACTCTTTCCTCTTACTAATTTTTTTTAACGTTTATTTATTTTTGAGACAGAGAGAGACAGAGCATGAACGGGGGAGGGGCAGAGAGAGAGGGAGACACAGAATCGGAAACAGGCTCCAGGCTGTCAGCAGAGAGCCCGACACGGGGCTTGAACTCACTGACCGCGAGAGCGCGACCAGAGCCGAAGTCGGACGCGTAACTGACTGAGCCACCCAGGCGCCCCTCAATGTTCTTATTTTAAAATGCTGTTACTTATATGTGTGTACGTCTTCATTTGAACTTGAAGACTGGCTTGCTATCCTGCACTGACTGGAATTACGTTGCATTTACAGAGTATCTTGGATGAACGCGGCAACTTTACGACACAAAACCTTTCCATCCAAGGGTGGCCCACTCTCTGTTGTATAGCCTTCAAGCTTAGGAGGATTTTTAGATTTTTAAGTGGTCTGGAAAGAACCAAATAGTATTTCACAGTATGGGAACATACGTGACACTCAGTTTAGTGTCCATAAACGGAGACTTAGGGGAACACAGCCACGTCCATTCATTCGTGGATCGCCCATGACTGCTTAGTTTCAGCACAGACCGCATGGCCCACACGGTCTAAACTATCTGTCTGGTCCTCTACAGAAAAGGTGTGCTGATCCCTGGTCCACGTGAATAGTGTCCCTGAGCTGTGCAGTGCGTAGCTGGTACAGCTGTACGCTATGGCCCTGAACTCACCCACAGCAAGCGGGACTCAGACACGGAGTAAGTCATTATTTAAGTGTGATGGCTGCCACCGAGGGCAGCACAGGACCCTG